TGTAAAACTGCTGTGATACTAGTGTTATTTTAGTATAATTGAGATATGACTGTAGTTTTTGTTAATATTTTGATTAATAGTTTTTATATTTTAATTTTAATAAATTTTATTGATTTTTGTTCGTTTTTGTCATTATATTAGCCTTTTTTAAATGTATTGTAATATTTACTTTTTATTAATTTTTTTATTTTTAACTGTAATAATACCGATATGTGACACTATAAATCCAACACATGTAAATCAAATACAGATTCACATTTTTAGTGATTAAACTGTCATTACTGTTAACGTTTAGCTTCCATTATCACAGCAAACGTGATTCAGTCACACTCACCTTTTTGCGTTTCTGCATCTGGTTTTCTACTTCCATTTCAGACACATCTTCATCATCATCATCATCGGTCTGAAAATCATCTTCCTCAGCATCACTGACGTTCTGCTCATCGTCCGTCTTCTTCACGGTGAACACAGACGCTGCAGAGAGACACAGCTGACGTTAGCGATTAGTGCTGTCAAACGATTAACGCATCCAAAATAAAAGTTTATGTTTACATAATACATGTGTGTGTACTTTATGTATATATAAATACACACACATACAATATATATTTTGAAAATATTTACATGTATATATTTATATAAATTATTTTATATATACATTTAATATATAAACATATAAATTTTTTCTTAATTATATAAATGCATGTGCGTGTATTTATATATAACAGGGCTGCCCTCAATTTAAGATTTTTCTGGTCGACTAGTAGTCGTTCATTTTAAGCATTAGTCGACTAATCGACACTCTCTGCTCCACTCTAACATCTTGCTTAGACAACTTAGGTTGTCTTTCAGGGTGTCTTGGAGGGGGAAACCCTCTCTAAATCCAGCACTTTTAGAAAACTACAGACCAGTATCCCTTCTTACATTCATTGCAAAGACACTTGAGCGAGTTTTGTTCAACCAACTCTCTATGTTTCTTGCACAGAACAACCTCCTGGACAGCAACCAATCTGGCTTCAAAAGCGGCCACTCAACTGTGACTGCCCTGCTCTCGGTTACTGAAGCCCTGAGACTGGCAAGAGCAGCTTCCAAATCCTCAGTACTCATCTTGCTGGATCTTTCTGCTGCTTTTGACACAGTTAACCACCAGATTCTCCTGTCCACCCTCATGAAGATGGGCATCTCAGAAACCACACTCCAGTGGATCAAGTCTTACCTCTCAGATAGGTCCTTCAGGGTGTCTTGGAGGGGTGAGGTTGCTAAGTCACAACTTCTTGCTACTGGGGTTCCTCAAGGCTCAGTGCTTAGACCGCTTCTCTTCTTTATCTACATGTTATCATTAGGATCTGTCATTCAGAAGCATGGCTTTTCTTATCTCTGCTATGCTGATGCCATCACTGCTATGACATTTAAATCATTATAATGAGACTTTAATGGCCTACATAGCCTAATAAGCGCTCAAGCACATGCATAAAGCTTGCCACAGCGCACCGACAGAAGTAATGATTATTAATGTGTCAGTGAAAAACAGTAAGGAGACTGTATTAACATTTTAATAATTTGATAAACTAGTGGTTTCTTAGTTTTCGGTTTAAGAGATGAACTCGGCGACACTGACTCGTCATCTCCGCAGTAGTGGACGCACCTGTATGCATGTTTCATACGGATTACATAATCTAAGAATATTAGTTATCCATTTGAAAGTAGACATTTCACTCTCTATAGATATATTTTTAATGTCTGTAAAGCAAACATACACAGAGTTTCGCGCTCGAGTTCACAGAGACCGAGACGGCAGAAAGCAAGCGCATCCTGTTTGCGTTCATTATTTTACAAAAGCGCAATGTTTTGTTGTTATTGTGAGTGCACACGAATAAACGTAGAGTCTTTACAGATTTTAAAGATGTATTACTCTTATCTGTATGACCAAAAATGAGGGAGTATTTTAAGAGCAAGCCTCCATCTGTCCTGCTATAGCGCACATTTCTCTAGGTTAACATTAGACTGAGCAGCCATGTAAAGTTGCTAATACTTACATATTTCAGATGATAAGCCATATTTGAGGTGGATGAATGATAGGCGAGCGTTTGGATGTACTGTATTACCATAGACTAGCTGTTAACGATCTGTTAGTCACGGACTGCGTGACTTCGCCCATGGATTTTTTTACATTTTTGTTTTCTGCAACTAAGCGACTAATACAATTTTGGTCGACCGAGCCTCTTCTGGCCGACTAACGATTAGTCGACTATTAGGGGGCAGCCCTAATATACACTAGTCAACATTTGAAGTGGATCAAAACCTTTCATCAAAGTTGTCCTAAAACCTAAAACCAAAATGCGTTCTTGTCTTAGGACAACTTTGATCCACTTCAAATGTTGACTACTGTACACATAATAAATATACACAGTACACACATATATGTGTCCCTGGAGCACAAAAGCAGTCTTAAGTCGCTGGGGTATATTTGTAGCAATAGCCAACAATACATTGTATGGGTCAAAATTATCAATTTTTCTTTTATGCCAAAAATCATTAGGATATTAAGTAAAGATCATGTTCCATGAAGATATTTTGTAAGTGTCCTACTGTAAATATATCAAAACTTAATTTTTGATTAGTAATATGCATTGCTAAGAACTTCATTTGGACAACTTTAAAGATGATTTTCTCAATATTTAGATTTTTTTGCACCCTCAGATTCCAGATTTTCAAATATTGTCCTATCCTAACAAACCATACATCAAAGATTATTTATTCAGCTTTCAGATGATGCATAAATCTCAATTTCGAAAAATGGACCCTTATGACTGGTTTTGTGCTCCAGGGTCACATATATTATGTAAACAAAAACTTTTATTTTGGATGTGATTAATCGCGATTATTCATTATTAACGAAGAGCGGCACTGACGCGGGTAAAGATCGGACATGCTGTCCGAGGAGTCGCTGTCCTCGCCGTCGCTCGAGTTCGGGGTCCAGACGCCACTGTCCTGCTTCCTGCTGGCTCGTCGCTCACTTCCTGCGGCCCGACCCTCACTTCCTGCAGCCTCTTTAGGTCTCTTCTTCTTCTTGAGCTGCACAGGAACGAACTCCACACCCTGACGGACACACTCCTCGTCTGGACCACAACAACACAAGCGCTCAGTAACGTCATGCAGAGCTGTGATGGGTCAAAGAAATGCGGCTGTGTGACTTACACTGCTCCAGAGCCCTCCTGTAGCGTCTGCCGCTGACGTGACACAGAACATGCTGCGGCACACGGTTGATGTGACGTAACGTGAGCTTGCAGAAGAGATGATCTCTGAGGAAAAACACAATGCAAATATATGAATATGAATTCAACATGAAATCAAAACTAGGGCTGGGCCAAAAAAAAAAAGAAGATTTGTTGATTAATCGTTTTTAAAATGATGTAGTGTAGTATAGTGTACTGTAATATAGTGTACTGTAGTGTACTGTACTGTAATATAGTGTACTGTACTGTACTGTAATATAGTGTAGTGTACTGTAGCATAGTGTACTGTAGTGTAATATAGTGTAGTGTACTGTAATATAGTGTACTGTAGTGTAATATAGTGTACTGTAGTATAGTGTACTGTAGTGAACTGTAGTATAGTGTACTGTAGTGAACTGTAGTGTAGTATACTGTAGTGTAGTGTACTGTAGTGTAATAGTGTAGTGTACTGTAGTATAGTGTACTGTAGTGAACTGTAGTGTATTATAGTGTACTGTAGTGTAGTGTACTGTAGTGTAATGTACTGTAGTGTATTAGTGTACTGTAGTGTATTGTAGTGTAGTATAGATTACTGTAATATAGTGTACTGTAGTATAGTGTACTGTAGTGAACTGTAGTGTAGTGTAATGTACTGTAGTGTATTATAGTGTACTGTAGTGTATTGTAGTGTAGTATAGTGTACTGTAATATAGTGTACTGTAGTGTAATATAGTGTACTGTAGTATAGTGTACTGTAGTGAACTGTAGTATAGTGTACTGTAGTGTAGTGTACTGTAGTGTATTATAGTGTACTGTAGTGTATTGTAGTGTACTATAGTGTACTGTAATATAGTGTACTGTAGTGTAGTGTACTGTAGTGTATTGTAGTGTAGTATAGTGTACTGTAGTGTATTATAGTGTACTGTAGTGTATTGTAGTGTAGTATAGTGTACTGTAGTATAGTGTACTGTATTATAGTGTACTGTAGTGTATTGTAGTGTAGTATAGTGTACTGTAGTGTATTATAGTGTACTGTAGTGTAATATAGTGTACTGTACTGTAGTATAGTGTCCTGTAATATAGTGTCGTGTACTGTAGTGTAGTGTACTCACGGCTGTTTAGTGCTGCGGACTATGTGCGGCTCGTACTGAGTGTAGTCAAACTCGGCCTGAGCGCGCAGTTTCTTGTATTTGTTCCCCGCGGTGAAGCGCTGCAGCTCGGCGAGGCTGCGGGGAAACTCGTGCGCGTTCAGAGAGCATCGGATCTGACAGATTTCACACAAATAACATTCAAAAACAGGCTTTCACCACTTCAGCTCTTCACAGGGATCATAAGAACAGCTGACATGCGAGTTTACTCTCATAACTCTGACCTTCTTCGAGTCTGTGAGCTGAAAGCAAGGATGCGTCTGTAGAAATGATCTCAAATCTTCCGGGAAATCCTCCATAACAACAAAAAAATTAAATATTAACGAACTAAGTCTATATGAGGGGGAACCTGTTATTGTAATTATTACCACAACAACGCTTGGAAAAAAAAAACCCACACTAAACCTCAAACTAAGAGGATAAACGCTTCTGTTTTGGTGCGCATGCTGCGCAGCGTGACGTTATATAAACACGACGCTGCCGCAGGACCAAAGACTGTCCAGCGAAATGCCAGAAACAATCGTTTTTAAAGCAGCGAAGTCGTAAGAGATTTTAAAGTCGTCTCAGAATGGATATACTGGCTCTTATATAATCAGTATTTAGAATAATTAAATACTCGGAGCTGAGACAGCAGCGGGTTGATATTTCTGATGAGGCGCGCTATTGGACGCTCGAGATAGTCAGCTGATACTGAGCTGTTCGTGTAGCATATTCATATAAACAGTGTATATTATATGTGTTTTCTGCGTGTCGCTTTATAATAATCTGATATTAATTTATAAAGACTGTTTTAAAGATGTCTGGACCAAACGGAGATCCTGATGTTTCAGCTGATGATGAAATCGTCGAGGATGAAGATGAATTCAGTGAAGAAGGTATTAATGTCTTTAATTATCATTATAATTTCACTGCAGTCATCTCATTCTCAGTACTGTAACATGTCCGGATGTTTTACTTTAGAAGTAGTTTGTAATTCTATTATTCTCAATGATGATTTTTAATCGTTTCTGACTACTGCAATAGATTTGTTTGTTTTATTTTATATATATATACATACATTTTCCAATTATATATTTTATTACATTCTTATGAGTCACTCCTCAAATTAATACAATTATATTGTAATTAATAATAAAAATAAAATACAGTACAAATTTTAATTTAATAATTATATAAATAAAAATAAAATTCAGTGCATTTTTATTTAATAATTATATAAAATATATTTGTTCATATTTTTATTAATAACAATATTTTTAATGTTTATTAACCGTGTTATTTATATGTATTATTTATACATAATTATCATGATTAATATATTAATTATAGCTTCTATATAAAGATTTTATTACATTTTTATTGTATTATTAATTTACTAATATACTTTTTTATCAGTATTTATTGATAATTATATATTACTAATTATTAGTAATTATATACATGTTCCTTATATTATTATACAATTTTATATAGTTATTTCATCATTTGAATTTTTTATTATTCATTACAAATTATATACATGCCTGTAAAAAATTAAAATGTATTATAATGTGACAATAATAATAAATAATTCTAATATAACATACACATATGCAATGATATAGAAGTCAGAATGAATCTCTGCTGTTTGGTCAGAATACACAGCCATCGACTCCATGCTGGACCAGATCAACTCCTGTCTGGACCACATCGAGGAGAGAAACCAGGCTCTGAACGGAAAACTGCACGAGCTGCTGGAGTCCAACAGAGAGGCTCGGAGAGAGTTCAGAGAACAGCATCCTCCTGATGAAGAGCCAGAGTCCACTGAAGACTAGAGGAACCAATCTCGAATATGTGTGGAAATGTACTTATGTCTGTCTAAACTGTGCTGTATTAGATTAAAGCCTCGAATGGCTTATTACTTTCATACGAGTTATTATAGTGAGCTATAAATATAAAAGCTTTAGGGATGCAACACTACAGTTCAATTCGTACCTCGGTTTTCTGATAGCTTGTCACATCTGTGTTTCTTGCAACAAATTAACAACAAAACTCTGTGCACACTGGAAAAAGTGTGGATTATTATATGCCTGCTTAAAGGGATAGTTCACCCAAAAATGAAAATGAACTACGCCAGAGCGCGTACACACCTCACGCACCGGATGCCGTGCGCACGCTCAAAGACAGTTGGACATAGTGGTGTATTAGAGGTCAAATATGATATAAATACTGTTCGGTTTCTGGCACAAACCGATCGTTTCGTGTCTTAGGACATCAATGTGTCGTCACGAGCCGCAGGGTTTAATCTGGATTTGTCTGTGCATGTTTTTTTTACTCTCTTAGAGTTTGTTACCATTGCCATGCATTATACGACTGATAAGACTGCAACGGCTGGAGTTAAAAATCATCAAATGTGTTCTACTGAAGAAACAAAGTCACCTACATCTCAGATGCCCTGCGGGTAAGCAGATAAACATCACATTTTCATTTTTGGGTGAACTATCCCTTTAACATTTCTTTTGAGAGAGGTATTATTTTTTTCAGATTTGTACCCAAAATAGGATGGATTGGCTATTATTGAGCGCTATAAACACAGTGTGAAGTGTGTTTCATTCATACTGGACGCTAGAGGGCGCCCTCGCACAGAAAATCCACACATGCGTCACAGAAGTAATAGAACTGATGACGTTCCAGGAAATTCCTGATATGGATAAAGGCATCGCTATGACTGAATTAACAGAAGATATAACATTAAACGTTTTGAATGATGAAATGTAAGGACAATAAACACTCGCCTGCGACAATTTATCTGTGTATTTCTAAGCGACATAGCCTTTATTACAGTATAAAATATATTTTCTGCCTCATTCTGTGATGATATCGAGAACTCTGACATCCCTAAAAAGCATAAAAACATTTGTTACTTGAAATAAATTAAACTTTAAAATACAAAAATCATTACCCAGTTACCAAGGCACCATTTCTCATTTAAATTGTTTAACTTGATTTGATAAAATAACCAAAATATAAATAAAAATTAATAAAAAACTATGCAGACATATTAAACAAAACAGACAAAAAAACTACTAAAAATTAGAAAAACACAAAATTACTAAAAACTTTAACTCATAATGAAAAGAGAAAATATAAATAAACTAACTTAAAATCAAAATAGAAAATATTTAAAAATATATAAATATTAAAAATGAAAATATGAAAAGCTATCTCAACGATACTAAAATACCTCTGAAATGGGAAAACAATTTTAAATAAAATTATCAAGGAAGTTCATAAATAATCCAAAAGTCCTCGTAATCATCAAATATTTTAATAGAAATTAAAATTAGCCAAATGCAGCAAACAAACATTGGAAAAACATGAAGCTCAGCTGGTATAAAACTCTGGCTCTGTTCAGTCTGTCAGCTGCTGAATAAAAACCAGATATGAAACACACGGACTGTCGGGTTTATGATTTATGAGTTATTACATCTGCAACATGTGATATTCTTACCTCCACAAATCAGTCCTGAATCAGACAATGCCCATTAAAGATGAAGCCATAATAAACAGTTCGACATCTCCAGCTGAAGACCAGTTTAGACCAGTCTGAGGTGGTTTGCTGGTCTTAGCTGGTTTAAGCTGGTCTTGCTAACCTGACTACTGGGAACCAGTTTGATGGTTAGTTTTCTAAAAAAAAAAAAAAACAAGTGACACGATTGAGGGAAAGACGAACGCAAAGAGAACATGACCTGCTCACATTTCACCCCAAAACCAAAAAAATTAAAAATATATACATATATATATATATATATATATATGAGTGTGAGAGTAATGAAAAAACAAAGATCTGAGAAAAAAAAAAAAAAGTAAAAATGTGTTTAATTGTCATGCATGTAAATAATGTGACAATGTGAGAAAAAAATCTTTATGGACCTACAAAAATGGCAAAAATTGCAAAAAAAAAAAAATTTGCAAAAACACTAACAAAACCTACAATTGGCTTAATTTTATGAAAGTTAAAATGTACATTGATTTTGGGGTGAAATGCGGTCTGATGCTGTATGGAGTAAGAACAGTTTTGTTGAGAAGATTCAGCACAGACGTCTGCTGATGTTTCCAGTGTACTACAAAATAATAATCCAATTCAACTCAGAAACAACATTCAACACCTCCACACACCAATGCCCTTATAACCAGCACTCCTCTGATATACTGCCACAACTGCAGAAGAAATCAACACAACTCAACAAAGCAAACCTAAGAATCTCACAAAAACATGTCCAGGTCCAATTTCACTCATAAATACAAAGAAGAAAAAAGAAATAAAGTTTTACACCAAAGGAAGCATATTCAGGTCTCGTCTTTTTGAACTCTTTTTCATGCTAATTATGCATTTTAATCCCCAATTCTTATTATGAAAATTATATATATATAATTATATATTATCAAACAAATATATTTAGTATATAATACATTTTTTATATGTATTTTTTGTTATTATATGTATATATATAAAGCATTCAAAAGTTTTATCTTGTAGTTTATTAATTGTAACTATTGTCAAAGGTGATTCTTATTACTGGGATATTAGTTTATTGTAATATTACACTGTATAATTATTATTTAAATTTTTTTTTAAAGTAATGAGAATGAGGGGAAAATGTGCTCAATTGTCATGAAAATAATGTCACAATAGAAAACCCCTAAAAGTCCTAAGAATTGGCTTCATTTTCTTTATGCAAAATATAATTTCCTTCTTTCTTTCGTGCTTTGTGAGATTGTCCAGAATACAATCATCTGTTCAAACATCAGTGTTTCTCTGAAGGTAGAAAGGAACCGTCTGCTAAACAAGAACCGCTAACAGCTCGAGTCTAAAGATGAACATCCAGAGACTTCAGTGTTTGAGACAAGTGTGTGTGTGTGTGTGAGAGAGCGAGAGAGTGTGTGTGTGTGTGAGAGAGAGAGAGAGAGAGTGTGTGTGTGTGAGAGAGAGAGAGCGAGAG